ATCCAGGATTCAAGTGTGTATTGAGTAAATTGAGAGTGTCCCTTCGAATGTTTGAGCAAAGGCATATATGAGTTCAGTAAAATAAACAAGAAGTTCCCAGGCATTTGAAATTAGAAATTGTTACCATGGGGGAACGGCTTCTGGCAGTCCTTTCGCCAGCAAGCCCAAGGCCAGCGGATGAATTGGCAGGAGTGAAGTCATACAAAAGGTCGTCCTCGTCCTCATCGTCTTCATCAGTTGCCTGATGTGACATAACCTGAGCAAGCCTCTGAGCGGCAGCTATTGTGGTCTGAGGTCTCCTCGCATTGGAAACGACGCCGGCTGAGCCTGAACGCACATGGCCTCGAGCAGGAAGTTCCCCGGGAGAAGGAGGAGCGCCACTACTTGGCGCGTTATGAACGCTCTTTTGCGGTGCATATACGTGCCTCGTCCGATCCATTGCAGAAACTTACCTGCGATGATCGAGATTCACACTTTCAATCGCAATTGCCGGCGATGACCGTCGACAACCACGGTGCCGGAGATAGATTCTGAGTTTCCGGGAAATTCTGGCGAGGAGGAGGTTGGATTCAGAAGGAAGGGGGTGAATTGGCGCCAGCGCCATGAGAGTAGCAGTGAGCTTCGGATCCTGAAATTTGAACGGGTTCCTTTAGGTAGTTATTGGTAGGGACTAGGGTGTTAATTTATTTTAATAACTTTATTCACTTTATATTTATATTACCTTTTTTTATTTACTTTATATTCTTATTTTTATGGCTCATTTCATAAGAGAAATCGTTAGGACCCATTTAATACACATAATTGATAAAATTGTAATTAAATTGGGTGTTGAAATTCTATAAAATTGATTTGGATGAAATTAAAATTCTCTAATTTTCATTCATTTTTGACTACAAATTTCAAATTTACATATTTTTGTGCTACCAATCAGCAAAATTGAAAAGATTGTTTACAATTCTAATTTCATCGTTTGAATTTCATATACGAAACAGAGCTTAGGTCCCATTTTGCTTTGAAATGTTTTTTTATGTAATTTGTGTCTCTCTCTCCACGTATGTGTGTGTATATATATATATATATTTAAATTTTACATCTATAATCAAATAAATTTAATAAAATAAAATAGTTAAATAATTATTGTTTTGTAATTTTTATTTAATATTAAAACATATAAATTTTATTTTTAATTATATATTTTTTCAGATAAAATAAATTAAAAACAATTCTAAGAAACCATCATAAAGTAATATGAAAACTTAAAATTGGTAGGAGGAAATAAATTCTTAATTTGGCAACATAGTGAATATATTCTCTACAATGTCATAATAGTAAAAATAATAATACTCTATATTACACATTTTTAATACATAAAAAATTTACTTGTCCCAAAAAAAGAAATTCTTATTTACTTTTTCACAAAGTTTAATTAATAATGAAATTGTTTAGCGAGAATATATATGCTACGCAAGTTATACGGTGCAGACGGGCTATACCAATTCAATTGAAGGCAATAAGATCGGAAGAGGCACGCCAATAAAGGGGAGGTGGCGACGGCTATGACAGCGGCTCCGTTATAGCGGCAATGACGATGTCTCCCATGTAGAAGTTTTATGTATTGTTTTAGAATGAGTATGAAATTGCTTCTGAATGAACATTACATTGTTTAGGATGAACACTACGTTTTTCGTAAATGAATACTATAATTGTAATGAACAAATGTATGAAAATGAACACTACGTTGTTTCAGAATCAATACTACATTGATTCAAAATGAATGCTATTTTACTCCGAAATGAACACTTGTGCTTCCTGCGAAAATGAGTACTACTCTACTCGCAAATGAGTACCATCCGGTTGTACCATAGTTCATGTACAAGCGGCTTTACAATAGGCACTCTATATGTGAAGTAAAGAAATACGCAGTATTATGAACTAGTCATTTATTTTTTTACAATATAGGCACTCACGTAGCTTTCTTTGATTTGTAAGCGTTGGCACAGAAGATGTAGACAAGCATGTTGAGAAAACTGAGGAGAGCCAAGAGCCAGAAGAAGTAATCCAGATGGCCATCGTTCAAGTTATCCGGAATCCATCCAGGTTTACCACCTCGGGTGGTGACCGAAGTTACCACGCTTAGAATCAAAGAGCTCAGGTAACTACCCAACGCAACCGTCATGAGCGACAGTGCGCTGCACAAGCTCCGCATGGCATCGGGCGATTGGTCGTAGAAGAACTCCAGCTGCCCGATGAACGTGAAGACCTCAGCAGCGCCCAATAAGAAATACTGAGGAACCTGCCAGAAGATGCTGACCGGCGTGGGGACCGCTTTGTTGACCGGACCAAAGTGTCGGGCGACCCATAACCGTTTGATCTCGACCAATGCAGCAGCTGACATGCATAGGACCGAGATGAATAGCCCGATACCCATCCGTTGGACTTCAGAGAACCCTCTTTCCATCCGGGTGAACTTCCTCGCAATGGGAACGAGGATGGCATCATAGAGTGGGACCCAGACAATGACGCTGATGACTTCAAAAGAGGAGAGGGAGGCAGCTGGGATGTTGAAGGAGGAACCAATGGAAGTGTCCATCATCATCCCTTGCTCTACAAACAGTGTTGACATTTGGGCAAAAACTGCAGAGAACACGATCACAGTTGCCCATATGGGGAACATTCGGATCAAGATTTTCAATTCTTCGACCTGTGTTACTGTGCAGAGGCGCCACGCATTGGAATAACCCCCGGTCTTCAGATCAGAGTCGGATATCACTGCCGCCTTGTCAAGGCATCTAAAGAAAAAGTGATAAGATAAAGTTCACTATCAGAAGGCTTACACTGCAGTGAGGTCTATCGATATGCGATTTAAACAAAACGTAATGAAAACTCATTCAGCAAGTCTTTTCTATAATCTTTTAGCATTGTTTCGATACTAGAACCACCAAGGCTCCATTTGTTTTCTTAATTTATTTCTCTTGATTTTCATGTATTTGGCTTCACAAGAGAAGTCATTTCCCAGGTTCTTTGACCTTTGTGTAAAATGACTTCCTCTTTTGACAAGATTGAGCAAGTCATTTTCATTTTCCTGATGCAATTCCATTTATTTTCTGGTCTTATTTTGTTGTAAAAAACTATAACTTACTTCCCCGAAAAACAATTAGGCGCAAGTGTACCCTTTGCATAAAAACCTCCTCTAAACTTACAGGAGGTTTCCAACTTGCGAAAGATGTATTTTACTACTTCTCTGTTAAAATGAATCATATTACGAATACCTTAATTCATCAGTGTGCAACAGCTTCCGACCCCCTTCGATTGCAGAAACTTTATCTTGACTTTCATACAACAGGCTGCTATCAATAGGGACTGTTGTTTTCCACTTGTGGAATGAAGCAACCAAGACCTGGCAAACTCTTGTGATAGGACTCCCACCGGGTTTCTGGAATCTGTATAGAGGAGTTCCTGCAAAGAAACTGGCAATAGCAAACGCCATGAATAGTGCAGGAATACCGAATCCGAGTCCCCATCCTGCATTGTCTTGTATCCACACTATCAAACTACTGGAAACTAAAGCACCAATGTTGATGGAGAAATAGAACCAATTGAAGAAGGACCCCTTTTTGACCCTCTCTCTTGAATCCGTATCATCAAACTGATCGGCACCGAATGAAGACACACAGGGTTTAATCCCACCAGCCCCCAGTGCAATAAGACATAGGCCAGTGAAGAACACAGTGTATTGCGAAAGAGTGGGATTAGGGCAAAAAGAACCCACACATTCAGCCGGCTTTAAAGCAGGAACAGATGCAGATAGAGCTAATGTGCATAGGCCCTGTACATAGCAGCAAAGAAGGGCCAAAATTCACCAAAAGGGAAAGTATGATATGTATATGGCAAAATGAGGGTTGGAATTGCATCAATGCCAAAAAAACACAAAAATGCAGGTTTTTATAAACAGCAGTTATATGTTTATCAATTCTAGAGTACTGCATAATGGCTTGTTTGGCTGAGGGGGTTCGGAGGGGAAGGGAGGGTAGGATTGAATTTTGTTTTACTAATTAATCTATATCTGTTAGTCTTAGACTAGTAAATATCGGTAAGTTTAATAACTAAAGTAAACCATGTCTTTTCAATATTTTTCATCTTCCTTAATAAAATATAAACTGATAGATTATTCTCCAATATCACAATCACACCTCCCCTCTAAATCCCCGACCGAACGACCAAATTAATGACTCAGTTCGCCTGGAAAAGAACAGCAGGCGGGAAGAAATGACGGATAAAATGACAAAGCCATACAATGAAATAAATACTGGAGAAGACAGCAATAGTCCAATATCTTCCCCAATAAGCATCAGCAAAGACAGCACCAATAAGGGGTGTGAGGAAACAGGTGCCTTGCCAAGTGGCGACACTGGTGGCAGCACTCGCATTCCCTTGGTGCATCTCTTTGGTAAGGTAGCTGACAAGATTCGTAGCAATTCCATAGAAAGCCAACTGTTCACAACACTCCGTACCTGGATTTAAGCTTCGAAGGTAAACAACAGCAAAAAAATGAAGCAAAACAATAAGCAGATTGGACAAAGATTGGCAGAAATATACCAAGAATGAAGGGACACACTTTCCAGTTTCCAGTATTGCTCTTCACTGCAGGGTTCCCTTTCCCGTCAACAGAACCATCTCCTGTGTGGATTCTGCTGCTCTCATTCTAAAACAACAATATATAAGCAATGGTTATGTGACTTTCCCACGACGAAACATCAAAGATTCAATGGTTATGTGACTTTCCCACATCGTAACATCAATTTTGAATTCTATAGCACAATGATGGAAATCCCAATTAGACTGGTTTCATGCTACAAAATCCCAAGTAGATAACAAAAAAAAATCAAACAAGAGCAACTGAGATGAAAGATTTGTATCTATACGAGCGGATTGGACGAACAATTTCACCATACCTTTTCCGGAACAAGCAATTGGGATGAAAAACAAACACTTTCATCCTCAATCACAAATCCTTCTGATGCAATTTCAGAGTAACTGAATTCAAAAACTACAACTAACCGCTTGAAATACATACATGTAGTAGCAGGTAAATCCAAGAAAAAAGTGGGGGGAAAAGGCCTGAACCTGATAGAGAAGGGCGCATTCGAGAAAATCTCCATTGTCCATTATAATTCACAACACTCCGATCTAGCAATCTATCTGTGCAGTAAGATCATTCACAAGATTCTGAGATCTATTCCGTAGCTGTTTGATGCCCCCGGCACTTCCGGATCATAAGTCGCAGTCAAAATTCTGGAGCGGGGTTGCCAATACTTTGGGGAGAATGAATTGGTAGCCGCCAGCCGCACCTGAAGCCAATCGTTAAAAAGATAGTTTTTTTATGGGTAAAAAAATGAGAGTTAAACTAAGAAGGAAGTGAAATTTCACATTTGTTGAAAGGTCGTCCCCATCCTCATTGTCGTCATCAGTTGCCTGATGTGACATAACCAGAGCAAGCCTCTGAGCGGAAGCTTTTGAGGCCTGAGGTCTCATCGCATTTGAGACGCCGGCGGATCCTGAACGCATATGGCCGCGAGCAGGAAGTTTCCCCGGAGAAGGAGGAGCGCCACTACCTGGCGCGTTATGAGCGCTCTTCTGCGGTGCATATACATGGCTCGTCCGATCCAATGCGGAATGATGGA